ATTTTCCGATTTTCTTTTCTCTGTCACACGATACAAAAACTACTAACGACTGTAAAATCGAAATTCATAAAAGGAAAATTAACAAATATGCTATTCAACAATTTAAAGAATCACTATCGGCAATAAACTGGGATAAAGTATACCAAGAATGTAACCTTGGACGCACCAACTCTGCTTATACTAATTTTGAAAACATTTTCTTAAAAAACTATTATAAATATTTTCCAATAAAAGTAATGCTAGTAAAAGAAAAACATCTAAAATGTCCGTGGATCACCAAAGGAATTAAAAAATCTTCCAAAAAAAAAAAAAAAACGTTATATCAAATACTTAAAAAATAGAAATGAAGCAAACTTAAATGCTTACAAACAATATAAAAATTTGTTTGAAAAAATCAAAAAGATTTCAAAAAAGAATTATTACTCAAATAAAATAAAAAACTCCGAAGGTGATATTAAAAAACGTGGGACGTAATAAAGAAATAATTGGGAACAAAAATTGCAAACCAAATAGTTTACCTACTAAAGTTGTTATAAATAATGAAGCGTATGTCAGTAGTGACGTAATCTCAGAAAAGTTTAACAATTTTTTCGTTAACATAGGCCCTAACCTGGCTACAAAAATTAATTGTTCAAACAACTCATTTGAGACATACTTAACTAATAACAACAAGGAATTAGCATTTAGCGAACTAAAAATTGTTTCTAAAAATGGTGTTAAAAATATATCCCTTGACTGGTTCAAAAGTTACCTGAGTATCAGAAAACAATGCGTTGTTACAGATCATAATAAATATTCAGACCTACTAGAAATAAAATGCGGAGTTCCCTAAGGTTCCATTCTGGGTCCCCTTTTATTTCTAATATATATCAACGATCTTCCAAAAGCCCTAAAAAAACTTGATGTAATAATGTTCGCTGATGATACAAATTTATTTCACTCATTGCCGTCTATAAGCGACCTTTGCGAATCTATGAACACTGACCTCGAAAACCTCAACATCTGGTTTAAAGTAAATAAATTATCTTTGAATACAGAAAAAATATATATATCTTGCTTCACTCCAACCGTCTTAAAAACTTTATACCAGGCACTCTACCTTCACTAAAAATTGATAACATAAACATCAAAAGAACTGAAAAAACTCAGTTTCTTGGAATAATTATTGACCAGAATATTAATTGGAAAGCCCATATTAATACAATTAACACAAAAATATCAAAAAGTATCGGCGTACTTTACAAAGCCAAACCTATGCTTTCCCAAGACAAATTAAAAATTCTCTTCTTTTCTTATATTCAAAGTTACCTAACATACGCTAATATTGCATGGGGAAGTACCCATAAAACTAAATTAAATTCACTCTACATACATCAGAAACATGCATCAAGATTAATTTATAATAAAGATAAATTCACTCATATCTATATAAATATCTATCAAATAAATATTTACCAAAATATCTTATTCATGCTAAAATACAAACTCGGACTTGTTCCGAAATACTTTACTGATAGCTTTTTTCATATTAACGCAAACAAATATATCACACGAGGAACAGACAACTTCACCTTGCCTTTAAAAAAAACAAAATTCTCGCGATTTTCTTTAATATATCGTGGCTCATACTTACATAACAAAATAATACTTCAAAATATGGAACTTAATAAAATGGACAACCTTATTGCTCTGAAAAAAAAACTAAAACATATCATAATTAACTTAACCAACTTCATCGAAATGTATTAAACAATTTGTGAAAAATAGTAATAATAAAAAGCCCTACTACTTCTACTATATAGTAGATACCAAAATACTTATGTGTATTTGTTGAACTAGTTCATTAAAGTTTATTTTATGTTTTAAAGGTTCTCGATAAAAAGACTATTTTTGTCTTCTGCGAGTTTCCTTACAACAAAGAAAAATATTTTTTAAGAATAGTTTTATATATATATATATATATATATATATATATATATATATATATATATATATATATATATATATATATATATATATGTATATATATATATATATATATATATATATATATATATATATATATATATATATATATATATATATATATATATATATATATATATATATATATATATATTCAACAACGTCCACAAGCAAGTCCCTAGTAGCCCTTTGGTACGACGGACTTGCATATATTTTTTAAATGCATGGGTTAATAGCCAGCACTTTATATTATAAAAACGAATAGTTACCTTATTTTGTACACTGTACAACGCGCATGCGCTAAACAGAATTTTGAATTTCTTTTGTCTTGTAAAAATTTTAATGGTACAAAAATTGTTTAAATGTACGTTTTGTACTTATATGTAAAAATATGTAATTTTGTTTTATTGAAATATATACGGATACTTGTTGTAAAAAAAAAAAAAAAAAAAAAGTGTTCCATAGTTTTGGTCCGCGGTATGATATTCCACATTCAGAATACTTACTATTAATTCTTGGTCATTTATAAGTATTCCATTGGTTTATTCTAAGAGAATATTTTTTTTTTACATTTTTTGTAAATTTATCATTAAAGTTTTTTGGAATCAAGCTGTTGTTACTTTTATACATAAAAATTAGGTGTTGGTAAATGTTGATTTCATATAAATTCATCATTTTCATGTCTTCCATTAATGGTTTTGCATTTTCATATATATATATTTTTTTAATATATAAGTTTGCATGCATGTTTTTGTAAAGAAAATATTTTTCTAAGTTTTGTTGGTTGAGTACTAGCCCATGTGATATTGGCATAGTATGTAAAACAATGTATTAGACCAAAGTATACTAATTTCAGACTTTCTGATGTTACATATGGACAAATACATCAGACCAATTGTTTTACTAATTTTTGATTGAATATAATTAATATGGGGAAGCTATGATAAATTTTCATCTATAAGAATTCCCAAGAATTTTATTGATTTTAAATGATGCACTAATTTTACTAATTAGTGCATCATTTAAAATCAAATCAGGTAATTTTAAAAGAATTTTTGCATCTTGTGATTTTTTATGAAATAAAGTATATTTTGTTTTATCTACATTGAGTGAAAGTTTATTTGCCTTAAACCATTTATCTACATTTATTAGTTCAGAGTTCATGTCAGAATACAGTTGATTAATGTCACAGTTTGAAAGGAAGAGATTTGTGTCGTCAGCAAACATTATTGAGTTAAGCTTAGCTGATGCATTATTAAAATCATTTACATAAATCAAGAAAAGCAATGTACCTAGAATTGACCCTTGTGGAACTCCACACAAAATATTGAGTTGACCTGATTCCTTACTAATAACATATTGTTTTCTCTCAGTGAGGTAGCTTTTTAACCAATCATAGGTTTTATTTATCACTTCGTAGTGTTTTATTTTTTCCAAAAGAACTAGGTGATCAACCGTATCAAATGCTTTTGATAGGTTAATAAATAATCCTAGAGCGAAGCTATTATTTTTAAATCCTTTAGTAATTTGGTCTACTATTTCAATTATTGCGTGTTCTGTTGAATGTTTTTTCCAAAAACCAAACTGTTTTGTGTAAAATAAATTATTTTAATTAAAATGGTTATAGATTCTATTACAAATTACACTTTCAAATATTTTTGAAAATACAAAAAGTACTGATACAGGTCTATAATTAGAGATTTCAGATTGATCATTACTTTTGTAAATTGGACATACTTTTCCCAACTTTAATGCTTCAGGAAAAATTCCTTCTTTTATTGAAAGTTTTATAATCTGGAACAAAGGTTTTGAGATGTATTTTTTGTTTGAAATAACTATATTACTAGAAACATCATCGAAACCAGGTGATCTATTCTTTTTAAAAAAAGAAAAATCAATTTCATACTCTTCATGAGAAAATTTGCGATCTTGCAGTATCGCGCCATTTAAAGATTTAAGATATATTTGAAAAGAATTTGGTGTAGTTATGATTTTTTTAGCAAGGTTAGGACCAATTTTTGTAAAATATTTATTTAACTCATTCGAGATTTGTAATGGACAATAGTTATCAGTTTTATTGATATTTATTCTTTGAGGTAGTATAGCCGTATGTATTTTCTTTCTTCCCATTATATCGTTAATTAAATTTTTTTCACATCGAATTTATTTATTATACATCACATATTTTTTTCACATCGAATTTATTTTTTGTAATTTCTTTACAATAATATGTTTTTTTAGCTTTTTTGAGAAGATTTGCGTTAATGCGTTTATATTTTTTGTAACTTTTTTCATTAACTTCAGTTCTGTTTTTTAAAAATTTATTGTAAAGTTTTTGTTTATTTCTTGAACATTTTATAAGAGTTTTATCCATCCAAGGATTCAATATTGTTTTTTTTTAGCTATTTTGAATTCATACGGGCACGTTTCGTTATAAATGTCAAGAAATGTGTTTAAGAAAATATTAAATGCTTTTTATTTGTATTATCACAATTAAAAACTTGATTCCACGTCTCTTGCTTTAGTTTATCGGAACGATTATTCTTATTAACTTCTGGTAGGTTGCGTTTTTTTAGAGTTATAACTTTGGAATCCCCGTTGGATGGGGCTTTGAAAGGATTTATTATAATGTATATTGGGAAGTGATCACTAATATCAGTTGTAAAAATACCTGTCTTAAATGACGTTTCTATATAATTGTTAATAAAGATATTATCGATAGCAGTTGCCGAACTTTTAGTTACCCTAGTTGGTTTATTTATAACTGGTAAGATATTATATTTAAAAAGCATGTCAAAAAAAGTTTTGAGGACCTTTTTTTTTAAGAAGTTAGTCGGTACTTCTTAAGGATTCATCCCCTCTCCTCTCCCCCATCATTTTATTTGTAGAATAGGCCTGTCTCTTTTTTCCACCTTAAATGGCATCCTTATATTTTTTTTAGAAAGTTGTGTTTTTGTATACTTCAGATTAATCTCAATGTAGTCTGAGTTTCTTTTTCAATTTTTGTTTGTTTAATTTGTTTTTTGTTCGTTTAATTTGTTCGATTAATTTGTTTTTTGCATTGTTTGTTTTTTGTTTGTTATTTTTAACATCCTTAACTTTGTTTATTATATGTTAATTTGATAGACAAAACTACAATATAAAAGTTGTGTTTTTTTGTAATTTGATTTTATTATATTGTTGGATTATAAGAAATTCGTATGTTGGAGAGTAACTGTGCAGGAGTGCAATTTTGTTTTTGAAAGTTTAACGCAAAGCTTGTAATTAAGCAGAAATCTAGACAAATTTTTTTTTTATCGCCAAATAAAGATTTTTACAAAAAAAAATTGTTTTGTGCTGAAGTTACAATTGTTATCAATGAAATAAAATCAGTATGATTTATTTATTATTTTTATGTAAAGTTTAATTAAATAATGTTATATTGATATATTTTTTAATGTTTATTAATCAACAAAGGTTGTTTCGCTAAGAAAATTTTAAAATCATTGTTTTAAAATCTTTGTTTTGAAAAATGCTTTTGTTGACAAAATGCGATAATAACATAATGCTTTTGTTAAAGAAATGTTTTACATTTAAGTATGAATATTATTATCACATTTTTTTATCAACAAAAATTTTTTTTTTTTAGATATAATGGACAAGATCACACAAGCGTTGTTGCAGACTAAAGCATCTAACCTTAAAAACGATATGACAAAGAATGTCGCCTCGTTTTGGTCTGAAGATGACGATAAGGCTAATGAAATTAAACGGCAGAAATATTTAAAGGAAATAGAGCAGCGTCAAGATAACGAAAAACTTGAACGCGAAGAGCGCGCCCGAATACGAAACTCCGAACGAGAAAAGTTTCGTTCGACTCTTCGCGAAAAATACGATTTGAAGGGTAGTACAGTATCAAACAACTCAAAAGGTCCCTGCCAGCCCAGCAGCACAACTATACCTAAATTAAACGAAAATGTTGACGAAAATGATAAATCCAAAGAATGCCTAATTCAATAGCGGCTGCTCTTTACTAAAAGTATTACGCCAGTACACTCAAAATCGCAGTTTCAGATTCACTAAACAATTTTTTAGATAAAAAATTTTAAATATGTTTTATAAACCACAAATATTTTAATAAAAACTATACCCGAAAACTACAGGTGTAAGACCATTAAAATAGAACTATAATAAGAGCCGCAAAAAAACGAAACTAGAAACTTAATATACCTTTTGCTCCAGATATATGAAGTTTTTTTTATATTAAGTATATTGTAGTATAAGTATTATAAACCAAGCATTTTAGATTCATCTGAGTCACGAAAGATTCATTTATATTTATCTACCTATATTTTCTATTATTGAAGGGTCTCTGCATATCTTGAAGGGTCTCTACATATCTTAAAAGGTCTCTGCATATCTTTACAAAAATAGAATAGTAAGGTTGATTAGGGTAATATGAGCCACTTTAAACGAAAATTTTCAAAAATAATTATGCTGGATCCAAGATTTTTGCGAATAAACATTTTTTAGGGATCCCTACTCATGATCCACTTAGATATTTGGGCACCAAAAATTGTTTCTTAAAAACGCAGAAGTTTTAAAAAAGTAGCAAAAGTGCTCATATTACCCAAACCACTTGGTAATATGAGCACTTTAAATTAGCTAAAACAAATAAATTAATTAAGTAAAAAAATACTAACCTGACAATTAGAACTAATTTTTGGAATATAATGATTTGTTTTTTACAAAACGTATTATTAAAAGATCAAATTTTAAGCCACTTTTTGTTGAAACAATACTATTTTTTTTTTTATACAAAAAATAAAATAAAAAATTAGTTTGTTAATTTTTCAATTTTATTAACTCAAACCTTTGAACGATAAAAATTCAAATTTTTTCGAATTTAAATTACAAAAAAAATATTTAGTGTTGTTAAAATATAAAAGTTTTTTTACAATGTTTTGTTTTTATTCAAAAAAAACCGCTGCTCTTTTAGGACTTTAAACAAGGTAATTTCAATGAAAAACACTGGGTAATTTGAGCATGTCATGTTACATCTTTAAAAAAAGTCAAAGCTAAATGTTTTTATGCATTGTTTATGCATTAACAAAAATTGATTGGATTTTTAGCTATCATATTTTTCTTTATGAAAAAATTATTTTTTTAATTTTTAGCAACGAAATTTTGCGCCACAGATTTCTTTATGCATGATGATATTATTTTAACAAAGCAAAAAATTTATTAGCGTTTTAACTAGAGGATAGCCGCTAATTACTGCGTATAAATTTACGCTTTATTGTACTGATTTCTGTTATCACCACATAAAGTTGATCCAAAAAATACAAAGCAAATTTAACTTCACTGCTTACATCTAAGAAATCTTTAAGTATGCTCATATTACGAAGGCGCTCATATTACCCGAATGTATCCTAATTGTTCATGATAAAATGCAAAACGCAAAATTTCAAATTACTTCGATAACAGAGATTTGATGTAAATTGAGTGTTATGTATTTGATTTGATGTAAATTAAGTGCAAAGAGATTGAGTGTAAATGAGACAAAAAAAAAATTTTTGATATTAAGAAAAACGATCATTGAAAAAGACTAAGTTGTTTCATTTATTCATATAAAATATTAACTTATATAATAATAGTTAAATATTTATAACTAATAATAAAGAATTACTTTTCGCTTATAAATTTAATATTATTTTTTTAAATAAATTTCTATCAAACTTTTTAAACCAACCTAACATATATACGATTTTTAACTCTATAACTTTCAGTAAATTTTTCATAATAAATTATATTACGTAAAATTTTACGTTATATAATTTATTATGGAAAATTTACTGAAAGTTATAGAGTATGTTATTACACGATATGGTTTTAAAACCATATCGTGTTTATATTGGCATTAAAACGCAAAATAAAAATGATTTAATGAGACAGTATTGTAAAGTTTACAATGCTCTACAAACTGGAAAAATACACCAAATGTAACATAACTTTGCTTTAAAATAAATTTAAAGAGACATGAGTATTTTATTCGAGTCTTCAAAGAAATGTTTTTCACTATTTTTGTACAAGAAAAAATGTAAAATTGATTCAGCGTTACTAATCTATGGATGTTCATTCACTAACAATCTAATATTTTCAAAAGTGTTAATTATTTTGACCCCCTGAAAATACATAACAGTTTTGAATTTGGTTGTTGAGGTTCACATTTCCTTTATTCATGAAAAATCAGAATAAGATAGTCCAATAACAGTTATTATAACCATTTTACAGACTAATTTGCGCAAAATTGGCTAAAAATAAGGGGTTTATTGGATTGGAAATTTTGAATTCCGGCCGAAACACAGTGGGACAGAGTGTGCCAAAATACAAAAAAATCACTATCGGCATTGTATTCTCAAAATATCTCATAATGGTGAAAATATATATTTTCACCATTCTATTTTAATGTTTTTTGTCTTTAATATTTAACGTTTTTTTAACTATATATTTCCTCTAATAAACATATATATGTTTATTAGAGGAAATATATAGTTAAAAAAACATTAAATATTAATTTAAACGTTGTTTTATGCGGTTGTATACACGTGAATTTGACATTGTATACATGTATACACGTGAATTTTTTAATTATCAACTTTCTTACGCTACTTTTGTTTTAAAATAATTTTATTGAATATGATTTTAAAATATATTATTTGAATTAACTTTGTTTTTTCTCTGACTTCAAAATAATTAAACGTAAGTGTATTCTTAAGTTTTTATGCATCAGTGAAAGGCAATTATGGCTTTTTTTTTTGCTACTAATAGTAAACTATTAGGTATCAGATAAACCATCCTCCAATATCCTCCAAACATTTGATTATGTAAATTTATTGCTTAATGTATCTTAACTGCAATGCAAGGCCGGCGCGAAGGGGGTGTGTGGGGGGTGTAACACCCCCCACCAATGAATTTTGTTTAGTCAGTCGGCAAAGTTGTAATGTATTGAATGTAACGTGTGGTGTTCCACAAGGCTCCATACTTGGACCTCTTCTCTTTATAATATATCTAAATGATCTTCATAAAACTTCATGACAAATGAATTAAAAAAAGTTTCTGATTGGTTCAAAATAAATAGGTTATCTCTCAACACAGCTAAAACTAAATGGACACTTTTTTATCCACTCCATAAAAAACATAGAATACCTCATTTGTTACCCGAACTATATATTGACAATGTAATGATAAAAAGAGAAAAAGTAACAAAGTTTCTAGGAATCTATATTGATGAAAATTTAACTTGGAAACATCACATTAACATTATCTCTTCTAGAGTTTCCAAATGCATCGGTATTCTTTATAAAGCTAGAAACATACTAAATAAACGGCAGCTGACTCAACTGTACTATTCATTTGTTCACTGTCATATAAACTATGCAAATATTATATGGGGAAGCACTCAAAAGACAAAACTTAAAACTCTTTTTAATCATCAGAAACACGCAGCTCGCGCAATTAATTTTAAAAATCGTCTTACTCACTCTGCGCCACTTCTTAAAGATATGAAAGCTTTGAATGTTTATCAACTTAATATTTTTAATATTTTATGCTTTATGTTCAAGTGTAAAGAAAATTTATCTCCACAGGTATTTCAATATCTTTATTCTTTAAAACCGAAAAACAAATATAATTTACGAATTGACAACAATCTTAATGCTCCTTTTTGCAAAACTAAATACGACGAATTTTGTATGTCCTATCGTGGACCTCTTCTTTGGAACAAAATAGTTTTACCTAATTTTGACTTTTCAATCAAACTAAACTACTCCTCATTCAAAACCAAAATTAAAGAAATTATCTTTTCAATTGAAAACATCTTTATCTCTTTTTGAGTTTTTATCAATTTATTGCTGATATATTATACTTTATTGTATTGTGTTTTACTATTTACGAATATTTCAATGAGTTCTTTGCAAACTTATGTATTTAATGGTTTTTATTTTATTACTTTTTATTACTGTGTTTTGTTAAACTTCATATTATCTTTGTTATTTTACGAATTTTTATAACTTTATTATAATATTACGTATTTATATTATACTAGCTGGAGTGACCCGTAAAATACGGGTCTTTACCGAACCGACCATTTTTATACTTATCTATAGCTATCCGGACGTAAACTAAGGGTCTTAGTAAATCTATTCTACACCGACCTTTTCTATACTTATTCCTTACCTCAATATTTTTTTAAAACCGTTTAAAAATGTACATATAAAAAACTATACTTACTTTTTGATATGACAAAAACATTTCTGTTAAAATGTTCTTTTAAAAACTTCAAACGATTTTAATATTATGCCGATTATAAAAATTTTAATAAGAAAAAACGTAAAAAAGACTACGAACTTAGAAAAATGCTAAAACATTCAACACGTGACGCCGTTAAAGTACGCCTTAGTTAACGTTCATAACATATACACATCTAATTAGATTTTATTTAAACTCAGTTGTTGCAAACTTGGTTTTGAATTTTTAATTACACTTCTTATGCGTCATAAATAATCTTAAATTTAAATAGAAAATACGTTTATGGGCTAATTGGTAGACGCGCAACACTTAGACATTTATAGTCATCTTACCCCGGGAGTTCATACTCCAGTGACTTTTTTTTTTCATCCCAACTTACAACAAAAGTAATTAAAAATAAATGTTATCATTGAAACAGTTTTAAACATTTCCTATTTATCTTTGAACTTAACTTTATTCACTGCAAACATACTTTTGGTGTTTGTAAGCGTTATTTTACGTTTAGTATTTGTAGGAATTATTTGCACGCACGTATTTTAAACAATTATTTTTACTGTTTCATCTAAAAATCTTATTTAATTTAGTTTAATAATTTCTTAAATATAATATATATAATATAATTTAAAATATTTTATTAACCCTATTTAAATAAGTATCAAAACTCTTTCCTTTAATTTAAAAAGAATTTAAAATTAACGTAGGCTATAACGATATTTTACCCTTTCATCAACATTTATTTAAAAAGTAAATTTGGATATAGAAAAACGGGTTAAAGACTTATTATTTTAAATAAGTTAGCTTTATCTATTTAATGCTTTTCGTAAAAGCGTTTCTTTAAAGACTCTTAACAAATCATTCAAGCTGTTTTTACTGCCTAAGTTATTAAACCTGTTGTGTGTGCCAAAAATCGATACTTAATGCAAATGGAAACTTCGAGTGCTAATGGTGATTAAAGCATAAATGGTTCCTATTCATATATAATAAAAGGAAATATGAAAGACAAAGCAAAAATGATTTTTATATCCATTTAAACCAATAAATCCCAAAATAAAAAAATATAGATATTTACTTAAAAACATATTTTTCTTGATATAAAATAAAAATATAACCTTTAGTACAAATTACAAAAAAAAAATTTATTCAACAGAGCTACTTATAATACAATTTAAATTGAATCATTGTTTCATAAATATTAAGCTTTAGGTAAACCATAATCAAGTCAGCTATAAGAAACGGAACTAAAAATGGAACAAAGTTATTTAAACGCATAATCATAATCATACACATTAATTACAAATTAACATGTCATGCAATCAATACTTTTGAAAACTCAAAAATGCGAATAAGAAACTTACTTTTTTATTTTTACATAACCCTGACAGACCAACATGAATGTGAGCTAAATCTATTTGCATAAAACATCACAACAATTAATTAAATAGCAGAACCACCTCCAAAGGACAAAAAAATTAGTTTTTTAAGGAAAATTAGAGTTATTGGGAGGGGAGGTATTAATAAATAAAAAAGCTCAACTTGAATTTAAAAATTAGTTCATAGTTTTGTTGAGGGTTATTGAGTTATTCTGAGTTTATTATACATATTTTAAACTACTGACACCACACACTTATATTCTTAGTTCTGGAAGGTGCTAGATAGAATTTGATTGTGTGAAAACCAAATCCCTTTGAGATTAACATTAACTTTATCAAATGTATGACCGTGACTTTTATTTCTAGTTAATGAGCATTGTTGATAAAGGTGTCTTTATTTAAATGATTTACTTTGATAACATTTAACATTCATGGGAAAAATAAAAAACAACACAAAAATAAATTTACAAAAATATATTACAAAAAAAAAAATGAAGTGGCTCAAAAGTTGTCAATTTCTTTACATTTTAATATGTAAAAAAATTATTGACAACTTTTGCGCAACGTTGTCTTCTCCTCCCAGCATCCGCTCTATTCCCCGTGTTGTATGGGGTGCCATCCCTCCATCTAAAGGAGGGATGGTCGTCCCCATACAAACACCAGCGATGGATGGCCCTCATAGATAGAGGGCCTGGATGCTGGGAGCGATACTTTCTGAATTCTTCCCATGACTTCGAGCCTGAAAAAAAAATTATATATAAATACAACTATGTACCAAGGTAATACTTACAAAAAATCTACTGTAAAAAAACAATAAAAGCAAATAATGTAATAAATTAAGTACAAGTGAGCACAACAACTTATTTATTTTACTCACTAATACTTGACTTATTACATTAACTAATTAAACTGGAAAGCACATTTGTAGCTATATTAAAAAACAAAAGGTACAATAAAAGGTACAATAAAATTCTTAAATTATTAGACATAATTAGGAATCAAAGGAGTGTGTAAAAATGATGCCTAATATAATAAAAGTTGAAGTTTCTTTTTTAAACTTATCTAAAATAAAGTGTAAGCAAATAATACAGAGCATAATACTATAATCTATTATATTCTACCATATATAGCATTGTGTTAAGATAACATAGTTTTATTAAAAACTTAAACTAAAGTTATAAATTAATGTAATATTTTCAACTAAGTATTGTTTATATATTTATGGTAGTTGTTATCAATTATTGACAAAATATTATAAGTATTTAATCAAAAAAAAACAAAAAAAACAAATGTAATTTAAAAAACAAATTTTTTACATATAAGAACTCATAAATAAAGCAAATTTAAAAAATTTAAGGCCTGTCAACTCAGCAGGTACTGCTAGCATGGAAGGATAAAATGTAATCATCCATCAACAAAACCCTTTCATTACTTTGAAAGGCATTTAACGCAAGATTTGCAATAAATAAATACAAAACTACTAAAAGAACCTCTATAAACAATCATATATTTGCTTCAAGTGAAGAAACTTGGAAATATTGAAACTTCTTTTACTATTTTTTTTTTTTTTTAGATATTTAATATTCTAAAGAAAAAGGGACAATAATTTAAGGCAAAAAAATTAAAATGTCTATACATATAATATATGTATAGACATTTTAATTCTATATATTTTATTGTGTGTGTGTGTCTATATATATATATATATATATATATATATATATATATATATATATATATATATATATATATATATATATATATATATATATATATATATATATATATATATATTGATGTACATACAAAACATTAAAATAATAATATAAAGAAAACATTCTCTATACAAAAAATCCTAAAAATTTAACAAAAGTTATTAAAACTTATGCTTCAACACGCTGTATACTTAATTTTATATATATAAAAAAAATTTGAGTTAAACATATTTAATGAAGAAAATCGAAACTCTTAAAAATTTTAATGAGCTTTTTAACAAAATTTATTTATTGTTAAAAGCATACATTGTTAAGAACAGAGGATAACAACATTAAAACACATTTTTTAAACAATATTTTTTCAACACATTTTAGAAATACACTAATTACAAACAGAATTAATTTATGTGTTTTATTATGACAATACACCACTCTGCTGGCGAGGACAATATTTTTGCTCTTAACAAAGCCAGGTCACATTATAGCAAAGTACACCACTTGGCTAGCGAGGTCAACAATCTTGCTGTAAACTAAGCCCAGTCACAACAATTTGAAACCATGCAAACAACATAATTATCACTTACAAACTATAAACATATTACATATAACACACCACAAACATTGAAACATTTCATATATTTACACACTTACAAAATATAAACCCATATAACCTTAACACATATATACACAATAAAACACAATATAAATAACACACATATATAGATAAATATATAAATTAAGAAAAATATATAAATTTGAAACTTTACAAATACAACCTTATTTTTGTTTTTTGAAATACCTCGTAATAAATGTTTAACAACTTTCAAAAACAAACTATCAAACAATCTGGTTTTTTATACGGATTTTTATAACTTCTTTTAAATAAGGTATTAAACGATCTTGTTCTTTAACATGTAACATTGAGTTGACCGTGTGAGATGCAAGTGTTTTAAACACTAACTTTATCAAGAGTTTGACCTCTTGACCTTTGAAATGAGCAACGTCTTCTTGAGTCGTCTTTTAATTTAAAAATTAGAGATTAATTTTATAAATTAATAAATTTAAATACAATTGACAAAAGACTAAAATGCGTGATTTAAATAAATCACCTGACTTTAAAAGTTACTTTACTAATTCAATAATAACATAATGTTCATCCTTTACTACAGAAGTTATCAAATAAAAATTGTTGATCTTATCACTAATTAAGCTGATGAAACAAAGTTTTTGATCTCATTACTGATTAAGCAGATACTGACAGATTATTAAGATTTGAAAGAGCCCCATTAGGCGAGTTCAGAAGTAAAGCAATTTATGATAAAACTCAAAGGCCAAGTATGGTAAAAAAATCCGTGTAAAGGTGCACGAATGGTGAGCAGCAGCGTTAAGTTAAGTATTAATTATAAGCGATTATACTCGATACTAAAATGCATTGTAAAGGCTTCATGATAAGATCCTCATGATCTTCTAGAAGTCCTGCCACTAAATTTGTAATATGTTAAAATTTGTATTATTAAAAACAATTATTTGGCAAAAAAAAAAAAAAAAAAAGTTGGAGTTTTAGGCTAAGTCAGTCGGCAAATTTGGAGTTTTTAGTTCATTCAGATGGCAAATTACTAAAAAAGTAAATAAATAAAAATCTTTTAAAACTCCTATTTATATATTGTTTAAAGTTATTTAAACTTTTCCGACGTGACAGAATATGTCCGGGTTTATTTAAACAAACCATATTTAGTTTTCGTATATTTATTTTAAACATTATATATATAGGTAATACTTTGAAACAACTTTTCTTATAAAGCTTTAAACATAGTGTGGGTTTTGCATACATAACAAAAGTTATCAAAACTGGTTCTTAGTCTACGATGCTGTCAAACTTATCAAAACATGGCGGTAAGTTATGCGATATCTGCCTGTAATCCTCTTTCTGATGATGACGTTCTTGGTGCTTAACTGCTTAAAATCGAAATGGAATGCAGTGTAAATAAACAAAAACACTGAAGCTGTTGTGTTATAATTTTAAAAAAGTGGTGATTCCAAAAGCTTATCTCATAACATTAAGTATTGACATTTTAGTGTATTATTTTATTGTTGTCTCTACTGATCACTTAGCACGCATTAAAATTATTGATGGCATTGATTGTTAGAAATTGGTTACTGATATACCACTACGTAAAAGAGAACAATTATAGAGCAAGTAAAAAAATCTAAATTTTTTTCTGTGTTGGCGGATACAACGCCCGATGTTTCACATCAAGATCAATTGTCAGTTTGCTTACGGTACGTAGACTCTTCAGGCAAAGTCTCTGAAAGACTAATAGCAGTATGTGAAGCTTTGGATAAAACTGGACTTGGAATTGCTGAAAAGATTAAAGAAGTAATAGAAAAAAATAGTCTGTTCTGCGAAAATATTGCTTTTCAGTCGTACGACTTTGCAAGCAGTATGTCTGGAAAGATCAACGGGACGCAGCAAAAATTTTCTGATCTTGTTGGTCATGTAATTTGTTTTATTCCCTGTCATGCACACCGAGCTAATACTTTTTTGGAACACAGCTGTGATGCAAGTGCATTAATTGCGGATTTATTTTCGATTCTTGAACATTTATATGTTTTCTTTTCATCTAGTACAAAAAGGTACGCTCATTTAAAATGTAAATTATTTGAGATAGAAAACTCGCTTCAAATAAGAAACCTTTTAAAAACTAGATGGACTGCTCGAGCAGAGTCTATTAAAGCAGTATGGGTATCTTATGAGGCAATATTAGAAGCACTTCATGAAATGTCTTCAAGTTTAAATTTTGATAAAAAGACAAGAACACAAGCATTCGGACTTTCAAAATAAAAATTTTCATTTTATTTTATTTTAGCTTTGTACTTTATGAAAAACATTATGTACAAGATGAAAATTTTAACGCAAAAACTTGAATCAATAGAACTTAATGTAATTGATGCATTATTATTATTAAACAGTACAATTAGCATTTTAAAAGAAACGAGTAGTGACGATACAAGCATGAATAACCTTGTAGAAAGTTCAATACAATTTGCTTGTAAACTAGGCATTGATCCTATTTATGAGTTTAATCAAGCTCATAGGAGAAGATTGTTACCTAAGAAATTAGATTCTAATTCTAATTCACAAGCAACTGTTGAAATGAAAACCTTTTATAGAACAGAATTTAAAAAGGTTTTAGATACATTAATAACATTGTATATGGAACATTTAACAAAATGTATGTCAACCATAGAGCCTATTTTCATTCTATTTGCAACGCCATTAAAATCAAATTTCCATCCAGAATATCTAAAAAAAGTAATTGCACTATTTT